TGCCTGTAGTTCAACCAAAATAGTGAACTCAGAGAGGCATCTGTTAAGTTTCATAAAGACAGCAACAACTACAGGATTCCTCGTGACTATTAGATTTTGACTTATGCCCAGTTAAAATTGGCTTATCCTTGTATTATGACTGGCAGTGCAGCTCCCTCTTACATCTGTAACATATTATTCCAGTTTTTCTTTGGCACACACTCCACATTGAATGGATTTGTGGACACTGTATTATATATTCCAGTCATTTCTTTTGTCTTCTCCAGGCATGAATGGGCAATTTTTGATTGGGGGGTGGGGCACTCTAAGATTCTAGGGGGGAGGGTCTGGGATGGAGGTTGGGTGCGGAATGGAGATTGGAGTAAGGGTTTGGGTGCAGGAGAGGGTGAGGAGCTTGAGTGAAAGAGGGAGTTGTAACTTAGGGGCAGAGGATTGGGGTGCAGGAGACGATTCTGGCCTGGGAGGGGATGTAAGAAGGGTGCAGAGTCTGGAAGGGATTTGTGATCTGGGAAAGGAGGTGCAGAGGATTTGGGCAGTGATCTGAAGCAAGGAGCCAAAGTGCAGGAGGGGTTGCCAGAAGCAGACTTTGGCCAGGAGGCACTTAGGTAGGTGGCTCCCCATCAGTAGCCCAGTAGGACCATCAGGCAGACTTCTTGCTTGCCATAGCCTCAGAATGCTCAAAGTGCCCAGCTATTGAGGCCCCATGCCTCTCTGCACCATGTGCTCCGTGGGCCATCGTATAATAACTTCTGCGAGGTATATTTTTCACTGGTATGTCACAAACAATTCTGTTGACTAATCACAATAGTTGGAGAAGAAACCTGAGTCTTCAACCCTTTGATTTCAGAAACCAAGCTTAACCTCTGCTTGGATCTTGATATTTCCCCAATATTCTATTCATGTTATCCTCTGAGATAAGAATATGATCACTAATATTGTGTATACCCTATTTTTAAGCCCGTGTTCACAATAATGATTCAAAACATTAGAAATAATGCATCTGACACCAATGTGATTGATTGAACAGCTGTCTTGTTAAAGATGGAGTGTATACTGAATTTGTATAAGGTAGCAAAAATATCGTATTGCTGTGAAACAGATCAGAATCGAAGCCAAGCTTGAGCTACAGGTAAGCTGTGAGTGGATGATGTTGGAAGCATTTCACGATGTGTGTATTGTCTTATATTCTGTATGGCTAGGTTTGCACTAGGGGATAAGTTTGAATTAAGATATGCAACTCCAGCTACATAAATTGCATAGCTTGAGTCGAAGTATCTTAAATCGAATTTTGGCACCATCCACAGGGCTCCCTTTGACTTCCCTAACTTCTCGTAGGAGCAGAAGTCGACGGGAGTGCCCTCACAGTTCGAATTATCGTGTCTTCACTAGACCCACTAATTCAAACCCTGGAAGATCGACTGCTGCTGCTTTGATCTTTTCTGTAGTGTAGACATGGCCTATACACTCTAACTTTTAAACTGAAAAAGGAAAAACAATAACATTTCATCTTTGGTGGTTCTTTTCTAAATGTCCACCCATTAGAGTTGGATTTCCTTGGTGGGAATCCACAAATCTCCTGTGGTGCAGTATTTATAGTCTTTTTATTAATTTTCTTCTTTGATCTTTTTGAATGTATATACTCCACTGCTTCCATTCTCTCCACAGGAATGTCTGCACAGTTTGGAAAAAAAATAATATCCTATTGTTAATCAGTTTTGAGCTGTTCACTACTAAAGAATAAGTTGTTAATGTCTGTAAGTTGACATTTGTTCAGTGACCTATATAAAATGATCGGAGGGGTAGCCAAGTTAGCCTGTAACTAGAAAAATTTGAAAAACAACGAATAATCTAGTAGCAACGTAAAGACTGACACACAATATGTAGATGGTGTCATGAGCTTCCCTGGGCATAACCCGCTTCTTCAGATGACTGCAGTATTAAAAGTCCAGATCCAAGAAATAAATAAGGGAAGGGTGGGGAAAAGGAGGGGGGGAGAAAAAAGACAGTGAATAGATTGCTCAAGTAGTTACAAGAGGCTGAAAAGAACAATTAGCATTGTTTGGTTAAGTCATTAGGATGTGGAAGGCAGTGTGCGAGCCAGCTGATATCTGGACACTTATTATGATATCACTCCAAGTCACCCTGTTGTTTCAGGCCAATTCCACAAGCCAAATACACTGGGAAGGGTTGGAACTTAACTTTGTTTACAAGTTTAATTCTTATCAGAATGGAATGAAGAGAAATATCTGCTGGCTGGCACACTACCTTTCATATCCTAGTGACTTAACCAAACAAACAAACAAGGGAGGTGCTAATAGTTCTTTTGTAATTACTTGAACAATCTATTCACTGTCTTTTTTCTTTTTTTTTCCCCTCCTCTTCCTTCCCCACTCACCTACTTGTCCTGCATTTTGCTTCAGCTACCCCAGACTAACACGGCTACATCTCTACCACTATTCTACTTCCCTTATTTATTCTTGGATCTGGACTTTTAATACTCCAGTCATCTGAAGAAGTGGGTTATGCCCACGAAAGCTCATGATACCATCTACATGTTTTGTTAGTCTTTAAGGTGCTACTAGATTATTCACTGTTTTTCAATGTAAAATGAGTTGCTGTCTCCTAAGTTCCTACTTGGGAAGCTGGCACTGTGAATATATTTCTTATCTAAAATAGTTTATTTAAATATTTGTAAACACCCTATTTTAAAAAAGATTAAAAAGCTTTGTTAAAGGTATGTTTTACAAGATGGACTCTTCAATAGAATTTATAGTAGCTCATAAAATGAAAGTCTATTTTCTTTTATATGTAAATCACTGCCATACTATTTTGTATTAGAACAATTGTTTTCTCAAAATGCTGCAGATACTACCCCAGCCTGTGGTTTTCATTATGGATATTTGTATCCAGAAAACAATCCATCTCAAAATGGAAAACTCAGTATATTTCTGAAACTGCCACTTCTCTTAAGATTCCACTCAACATCAGTTACTTGGAAATCTTAACAGTGACAGTGATCACAAGTTAAAATTTACAGTAAAACATGACACCCTTCTCTGACACCACATAATTGAAAAGGTGGTTTTGATAGGCATTTGAGGGTGTGGTTTCCAGATTGATTCTATTGATTGCCATGATGCAAGGTCTTGATCGGGGGGACAGGATGGATTTAGGTGGGAGATTGAAGCTTACTTAGCTCACTGCGTGCCCATAGCCCACTCTCACATACCAGACACTTGGGATACACCTGCCTATACTACGGATGTGAACAGGAATCACTTGCTGGGTGATGCCTACTGGGTACTGGTTAATTGGTACCTGGGAGCAGCCATGACCCACTACAGGCAGAAGGCTGCTCCAGCCCTGGGGGTGGGAGTGGGAGCTGGCTGCCCCATGTGGGGAAAGGGGATGGGAGCAGGATCCTAAAGTTTAACTTGTTAAGCCCAACCTCTATATTCGAGTTAGTTTGTCTGCTTTCCCTTTTGTAAAGGGAAGTGTATGGGTAGAGATTGGTGGAGGCAGGGCGGCGACTCAGCCTGCAAAGACGCCAGTAAATCCCAGGCCTCAGTTACTGGACAATAAAACAGATTTATGACAAATTGAGCAGCCTTACCTTTCCTAATATTAAACTTTAAAGTCTTAATGCTTACAACCCAGCTGTGCCTCCATGAATCTGAAGAAAAGGTTGGGAAAAAATCCTCACCGGATCGATGCCAGATGTGTCCAACAGGAAAAATTCCTTATAGATTCCAAAATGTCTGATAGATCAGATCCACAGTGTCCTAAAAACATAGTTCCAATAGTTCAACTGAGATGACAGAGAGTGGTGCAGCTAACAGAAGGAAGAGGCTTTTGAAAAGTCCCCTGTTCACTTCATAGTTAATTGGTTGTTCCCAATCACCCATCCCAGACAATAGGAAGGTGGCAAATGTGGGAGGCAGGTTCTTGGAGGTGAACTGGGTGGTTATGATGCTCTTAAAGTCTATTATACACATTAGTGTTAAGTACATTGTTTTTGTTATCTCCCTGAAAATCCATAAACTGAAGAGGACTGAAATCTAATGTAATTTAGACTCTGTTGACAGCATAAAATAAATGCTCTGCTTTCTCATCACAGCTGTAGAACATAATTACCACAGTTTAATATTGACAAAGTAATAGTATATTTTACTTCAGAATATACTTCCTTCCCCCAAAGCCAGAGAAACCAGTCCTATGATAGAGAGTGAAATTAGTTTCTTGACTATGATTTTTGAAAGGCGGCTTTACTACTTAGGCCAGATTTTTTCTTTTTCTGGTTTTGTGTTGATAGCTGTATAGCTGTCTTAAAATTAAATGGCAAGGGCCGACCGAGCTGCTGGCACTGAAACCGATCCAGCAGTGCCCAGTCCTGCTGGTCATGGGGTCCCCCAAGCAGCAGCTAGCCCCAGAACCTCAAGATCTACCACATTGACTGCTGCAGAAGTCACGGGTCATAGAAAGTTCAGGAATCTGATTTCTGAGACAAGCACAGAGCCCTAATCATAAGCATTATAAATGAGATTACTGTTCATTGAAGCAAGTGTTCTCTTCAACTGTAATTCAAGTTTGTGCAGGAGTAGCTGTTCCTAATTCTCGTTTATCTTACAAAAAGCCAAAGGCATTCTGGTATGTGCTATTGATAAAATATAGCCAGCTTTTTATAGTATTGGTTAAATTTCTCTCTTTCGCTGCAAAAGAAGCACACACCCAAATACGTGGATTTTTTTTTAAATTGACATAATGGTAAAAATTACGTTGCAATAAACAAAGATGTCAGTCTTGCCATGAGTCATGTGTTTCAGTAAGTGACTAGCTCTTTGCTTGCTAGCCTTCATGTATGCTTAACATGCTTTTCCCCATCTGCCTAACTTATCGATAGAAATGGATGAAGAATAGGGGAAATAATTAATGCTTTTTCTAAAAAGTATGCAAATTATTGAATAAATCATTCCACTATAACTACTGCTCTTTTAATACAGTCTAGCTTTCTTAAAAGCTCCTGATGGTGCAGTATGCTGACATATAAGAAGCAGAGAAATTACAAAGAAGAAAGGTGGCCCAAACGAAGATGCTGTATGTTACACGTTCTGGCCGAGACTCTAATTGAACCGTCTGGAGGAGCAGTACACAAGGTGCCGCTGGGGGACGAGAGGCAACAATTGTTCAAAGCCCTCCAATTTTCTGGGTTTGTCTGGGAGCCAAAATGGCATTTGGTGTAGCTTAGCATGTTAGCAGCTATTCTAAGTTATGGCATCTTCCTTGAGTCTACACAAACCAGAACGGCCCCACATAGGGGCTTGCAGGAGCCAGAGCAGAGCTAAATATGACTACACAATACTGCTAGCTGTCTCTTTTAGGAGCTACAAAGCTGAAATGGAGAATCCTTAGCCATCTTTTTTTTTTACATTTAATAAAAACTGGTACATAATTTTGATGTTTCTAGGAAAGCCGTCTCTGTCTCCTAACCTTGATGAGCAGTCAGTCAACTGGTCAGCTACCTCAGAAAGGAATATCTTCTTTTTACTTTATTCAGTAAATCTTTTTGAAAACTTACAAGGGAGCCTTTAATGTTAGAACTCTGTGCTGCTTCCCACTATGTAGTCCACTTCTGGCTATTTGAAAAAAAATTGCCAAGTTGTATATGAAATTCAGATACACTTTTACAAAACCCCACCCAGTCACCAGTATGCACTTCTATATTTTGCTCACTGTTCGAGCAGAATACTATTCAGGCAACTTTCCAGCTCTGTGAGGATTGCATGTTTTTTGCCATCTTCGGAGGACAGGTTAGAGGAGGGAAGAGGTGATTTGTATAAGAAAATCAAACACATTTATAATAATGGCCCCTACTTTAAGGTCTTTAACAAACCTAGGAAGAGGAGAGAAAATAACTGAATACCTTCTTAAATCAGGAAGCCTGGTTTTGTTTAGTGTAATATGTTCTGTATAAACTAACGTTTTTTTAAATTAATACTTAAAAGTGTTATTTAGATCTTGAACTGGTAGCTCCCAAATGGAATTAGAGCTGCAAGTGTTGAAATACAGGATATATGCTGTTTCATTGCCTGCTTGGCTTGTAGAATGTATGTATGTAAGAGCTGAATATGTAAATATCCTCCAAAATTCCTAATCAGATTTTTCTCTTGCATTGTATTTTGGAAAATGTTGCAGTACTGGTGCTTTTTATGTAACATCACATGGGATCTTTGGTTTAGATTATCTGTTTTGTGAATAAGAATTCACATGATAGGAAACTGACTGTTCATAACTGATGGAAGCAAAGAATCCCTTCAGTTATGAATATTTAAAATGTCTGAATCAAATTTAGTTTTTCTTCAGTATCTACATTACAAAAATGAAACACGTAGCAAATTACAATATCACTCTTTTTTGCATTAGTCTGATCTGCTGTGCCCAGTGTGCTTATGGAAAATTAATAATGCTGTGTCTCTAGAGGGCTTCATTGTGCGTTTGGTTCTGCCATGATATTAAAATACTAGCTGAGGAGGATTTGTCTTTGGTAGTGTGTGAATAACTGTACAGCTGTTTTCTAGGTGCTTGTTCCTGTATCTCTTGCATGAGAATTTTATTTTGTAAAATTGTGACCATTGTTCTCTGAACTGATCAAATAAAACATTGCAAAATGTAACAGGAGAGAACTAGATCTGTATTTAAATCCTGACCCAGCACTATTATTAATCTTGTTTAGATGGGTCGCTTTTTGTTGAACAAATATTGAGCAACATAGTGTGCTTGGGCTATATTGACTTTTTAATCTGCGTGTTGAAATATTTACTACCACACTGAAGTAATTAGTGTTTTGGACATTTTTTAAATAACCGAGCTAATGATTTTCACTTTTGTCGCTATTATATTTTCCTCTCTTCCTAATTTTGATTTGATGTAACAGATCTTATTGTTTTCCTGAGCTATGTTTTCTTCCACTACAAATTCATATTAATATGGAATTGATAGCTGAATGTTTCCGAGGCATTCCATTTCTTGTGTGACGCAGAATGGTTTCATTTTGTGGATAGGTGACTAGATTGTTCCATAGTATTAATGTGACAACACTGTTGATGCATCACTTTCTTAGCTGCTTTCCAGAGAGATGAGCTTCATTGTAATGGCTTAACTAAAAAATAAAAATCTGTCATAGTCTGCTGAACTCAAATGTTTACAAGACGTATAGGATCTCATTGACCAGACACTGAATTTTTGACCAGTGAAGCTTTCATTAACATGATTGTGGGAAGCTATGGTTATTGTGGGAAGAGCTTCAAGAATGTGAATGAGAACTGTGCCTATTATGGATCACTATTCTGTCTTTGTCCATGCCTTTTGAGATAGCAAGTTTCAAGGTTTTGCAACGTATATAAATGGTTCCCTGCTTCCCTGGTTATAGTTTTAGTAAAACCTGGGTCTTTGGATGTGTTTAACCAATCTAGCTATAGAAATAGCGTAGTGAAAGTTCCCAACTCACTTAGTCCATTCAACATGAGTCATATTGTTTAAAGTTGGACTCATATTGGGGTGAAATATTTTGCAGACAGGAAACGGAGCTGACTCAGCTTCCGAGCCAAGGCCCCTGCAGTGTACTGACTGAGTTATCATTTCAGGGACAGTGCTGCAGCTAATCTGAGATCATAATCAATGTAACATATTGCACAGACTGTATGTAGCCTAGACTCCCATTCAAACGAGACAAACTGTCAATTCTGTAGAAGCAGGGTTCTTTTATTTGATATTAATTGTATCATGATAACCTACTACAAATTGTATTTAATTCCTCTTTTTAATGCAGTAATTAGTTATAATTTTGCAGAGATTTCTGCATGACACCATATAGTAAGGAAAGACTGACTTTAAAAAGCAGTGTTTGTATAAGTGGTACTTTTTATGTGTGATAAAGCTTAATTATCATATAAATTACCTATCATCATACTCAATATGCTTGTCTGCTCCTGGCATTTCTGGATATATAATCACACACACACAACTTCTACAAACTTTTTAGGACCTAAACATCTACAGTTGATAATTGCATGAATGCACTTTTCTGAAAAAGGCATTGTGGCTCATGGAAAGCATTGCTTCCTGTTAAAGCTGTTGTGAAGGTTCACCAGAGGCAGTAAAAACCACTCTTAAATCTAAACTGTAATTAAGCCCCAAGAGAACTGGAACTATTCCCTACAAATTATGTTAATACACTGATTTTTTTTGCAAAGTTTGGCGAATAGAATGCTTTGTGAGGAGTTGATCTATACATATTTAACTTTAGAAGACCAAATGAGGGGGCTGGAGCACGTGACCTATGAGGAGAGACTGAGGGATTTGGGTTTGTTTAGTCTGCAGAAGAGAAGAGTGAGTGGGCATTTGATAGCAGCCTTCAATTTCCTGAAGGGAGGTTCCAAAGAGGATGGAGAAAGCTGTTTACAGTAGTAAGGAATGGAAGAACAAGGAGCAATAGGCTCAAGTTACAGTGGGAGAGGTCTGGGTTAGATATTAGGAAAAACTATTTCACTAGGAGGGTGGTGAAGCACTGGAATAGGTTACCTCGGGAGGTGGTGGAATCTCCATCCCTAGGGGTATGTCTACACTACCCCGCTAGTTCGAACTAGCGGGGTAATGTAGGCATACCGCACTTGCAAATGAAGCCCGGGATTTGAATTTCCCGGGCTTCATTTGCATAAGCCGGGCGCCGCCATTTTTAAATCCCAGCTGGTTCGAACCCCGTGCCGCGCAGCTACACGCGGCACAAACTAGGTAGTTCGAACTAGGCTTCCTAGTTCGAACTACCGTTACTCCTCATTCCACGGGAAATTCAAATCCCGGGCTTCATTTGCAAGTGTGGTATGCCTACATTACCCTCCTAGTTCGAACTAGGAGGGTAGTGTAGACATACCCTAGAGGTTTTTAAGTCTTGGCTTGACAAAGCCCTGGCTGGGTTAATTTAGTTGGGATTGGTCCTGCCTTGGGCAGGGGGCTGGACTTGATGACCTTCTGAGGTCTCTTCCAGCTCTATGATTCTATTTGTTATACTGAACTATTCCATTAATAATTCTAATGGTCATGACATTTAAACATAGTGTAGAAATTTGACTTCCAAAATGAAAACGGGGAACCTGAAGTGAATTTAATCACCTCAGATATAGTCAGTAAGGTGTATAGGTAGGGCCCTACCAAATTCAAGGCCATGAAAAGCACATCATGAACCATGATACCTGGTCTTTCCCTGTAAAATGGGGGGACGGAGGTTTGCTTTTACTCTATAATAGGGGTGGGGCCATGATTAATTTTTGCCAGACTGTGGCAAGTCTCAGCACCACAGGCCAGAAGCCCTGAGCCTTAGTGCTGGCACATACACATCTCCAGGCAGGCTAAAGCTGCAGCTGTGAGCACCACTGCTATGTCATGGCAACCAGGGAAGCTTGGCACTCTGTTTGTAGGACTTGTGGTGGCAGTGCCTGCAGGCAAGACCAGTGCATGGAGCCACCTTCCCCACCTCCCCCAAGGGTCGCAGGGATATGCTGGCTCAAGCCACTTCCAAGCATGGCAGTAGTGGAGGGCCGGGGGGGGATGAGCCTGCCTTAGCCCTGCCACACCACCAAACATAAGCTTATCAGGTAGTCAAGTCACTACTTGACTGGTCCCCTCCCCCCCCCCTTGCTGCCTCTGTATCAGAGGCAGCAAGTGAGGATGCAGGAGCCGGCTGGGGGGAGCAGGCAGCACAGGTTCCGTGGGTTGGGAGTCAAAGGTGCAGCGGGGAATCCGGGGTAGTGGAGACTGTAGCAGTCCACACTTGCCCCAGGTTCTCTTCCGTGCTTCTGCCTTTAAAATGTAGTAAGAGCCGCGGACTACCTGATTAGTTGATTCATTGAAATTTAACTTCCCTGCTGCCTGAGGTAAGCCCCCCACATCTCCTCCTGCATCCTAACCCTCTGCCCTGAGCCCTCTCCTGCACCCAGAGCCTGCATCCTGACACCCTGATCCAGCTCACCAACTCCCACCCAGATCCCACATCCCCACCCTAACCTGCACCCCAAGTCCTCCTCTCCAGCCCTACCCCAGAGCCTGCACCCCAGTTGGAGCCCTCACATCCTCCTGCATCTCAATCCTCTGCCCTAGATGGAGCCTCCTCCTTCAATCTGAACCCCTCATTTTTGGCCTGGGCCTCTGCTCCCCTTCGCCCACTCCATCGAGTTGCATGTAGCCCATGACTGATTTCTTTTTTTCTTGAGGTCAGTGGTTCCTGATAGGAAAAAGGCTCCCCGCTCCTGCCCTGTGCTATGCAGATTTCACAGGGAAGACGAGCATTTCTCAAAAAGGGACTGGCAAGGGGATGGTGAGGTTATTTTAGGGGCATTACAGTATTGCCACTCTGACTTCTGCACTGCCTTCGAAACTGGAAGGCCAGAGAGTGGCAGCTGGTGACAGAGCCCAGCTCTGCAGGGATCAGCGCAGAAGTAAGGGTAGCCATATCCTCCCATGATATCCTCCTGCGTGCACAGCCACCATTCTCCAGCAGCCCGACTCTGAAGGCAGCACTGCCACCAGCAGCACTGCAACCTGCTCTACAATAACTTTGTGTCTCCTCCCCTCCCCCTCCTAGCCATTTCCTCCCTCCCTTCTCTTCATCCTCCTCTCCCCAAACTCCCTTACCCTATAACAGTGGTCCCCAACCTTTAGAGGCTCCTGGGTGCCCGGGAGGTGGGGCCACTCATGCGCCGGGCACCCGGGAGGTGGGGGCCACTCACAAGCTGGGCGCCCAGGGGCGGGGCCACGCGTCCAGGGGCACACCAGGGGACTGGGATGCCCTTGCACCTGGCGCCGGCGTGTGCCCTAGGGCCGGGGCTGGGGCCGCCCGAGCGCCTTGTGCTGTGAGGCGCGGGGTGGGGGCCGCCCGAGCGCCTTGTGCTGTGGGCCGGCGCTGCCTGGGGCCGGCACCGGCACACCCGAGCACCCGCATGTGCCCCGGGGCTGAGGCCACCCAAGCGCCACGCACCCAGAGCCGGTGCGTGTCGTGCGCCTAGAGCCGGCGCCTCCTGTTAGCCGGGGGCGAGGCCGGCCCAGGTTGTCGACGGGCACCCATGAATGCCCCGGTGGGTGCCATGGTGCCCGCGGGCACCACATTGGGGACCACTGCCCTATAACTATCCCCCCAGCCACTGATTCCCTCCTTCTCTCCCTTCCCTACCCGTTCTCTGAGCGCCTCCATCTGAACAAGCTGTGCAGATGGCCCTTCCCCGAGCTGGTCAGCTGAGCTCCCTGCATGTGTGAGAGCTCTGAGCAGAGCTCAATAAACAGCCGCAATCATGCAGCTTACAAGGGACTTAGATCACAACCCAAACCCCTGCACCCAGTCATCTATCCCAAGCTCCCTTCTGCACCCAATCTCCATCCCAAACGCCACACCTCCTCCATTAATATCATGGAAGAGTGCAGTTCTTGACTGCTTATCAAATTCTTGCCCTCCCCTGTCTTAAAAGAAGCCTAAATATTGTGCGAAGACTATATTTAGTTAAAAATCAACATACATTAGTAGCTACCAACCAATGGGACTCAACTTTTTTTAGGCAAATAGCAAAAAAGTACAAATGCAAAAGGCGATAAGAAATCATTTAAATCAAGATTTTCTGTTTGCTGACT